CCTCCTCTGATGAGGCTGAGCCCAGGGTCTTCCTGCGAGGCTGGTTGGTGGTGGCGGGGCTGGTCTATAAGAGGGCCATGGATAGGATGTCCCTCTCGAGCACTGGGCACAGACCGCATGTTGTTCTCTTTCCAGTGGCTGATGGTAAGATTTGCTGCTCTGGGCTGCTATGGTGTCACTCCTGGACTCAGGCTCATCTCCTCATGTGCCATTCCTAGATGCTGTGCTCTGGGTGGGCTAGCAGTCCAGCCTAGTGGTAAAGGTCATGGTTGAGCCAGACATACTAGGTTCCATTTGTTATGTGATCTTGGGTAACTTGCTTTACTTGGAGCCTCAGTTTTCCTGTCTTTAAATGGGCTCGTGGTGAGGATATATAAGTTAATGTCCCAAAAGTACTTAGCATAGTGCCTGGCACCATATCAAGTGCTCAATAATTGATGAATGCTATTATTAGCTATTAGCCAATAGCTAGTGAGTCCAGCGAGACTTTCAATTTTAAAACACTTGAAATGCTGCCAGCCTAGGACACAGGGCTGGGCACTGTGATTGAGCCTGGGGAAAGTTCTGGGAGTGAAAGTATTTTCCTGGGGAAGAGGGTAGGCACAGAAGAAGGGAACCCATTGGGCAGTAATCAGAGTAATCAGGGGCCATACTCACCATCAGATCTGAAAATATTTTCTTCTGGCTGAGACTGCCACTCAACACTCAGCTGGAATGGGGGCATTTCAAAGAAAGGAACCAGAATAGAAGAAGGATTTGATCTTCTGGCACATGGCTGATTGATCATCTGTCAACATTGGTTTTCACCTCCTTTTTCTCATCTGCTGGTCATGTTAGAGCCTTCAGGTTCTAGCTAGTTCTGGTGTGTCAGGTCATCAGAAGATGCTCTTACGTGGAGGCCATTGGGTGAATGGGATCAGGGCCTCTTTGGGAGTCACATCTGTTCTGTCCCTACCTGAAGGCCGTGGTGCCAGGGTTTGGAGGAAGTGCAGTAATGAAGTGTCCGTCAGTGGGGGCGGGGCTTAGTGGCCTGGGTAGGTGGGTCAGATGGAGGTCAGGAAATCCTCTTATCTTGCTGGATGCCCAGGCCTCCCTCAGCAGCAGCAGCTGAGCAGCAAGCCCTGGTGAGTCAGCGTGCCTGGGAGTTAGAGCTGCCAGTCATTGAGCATGTGGGGTTTGTGTAAGTTTGGGCCTTTTGTTTCTTTCAGCACTCCAGCCTTCAGAAACACAAATCTGGAAACCAGCCCTCCACATGGTATCGTTCTTCTTGTTTTGAGATAATTCAGCTCCCAACAGTTGCTTCCCTTTTGTATGATGGTCTTCTAAGAATCAACCCCTTGCCTTTTGAAATTTTAATAGGGTATGCTTATGGCTTACTAGCTATACTCCTAGAGCTAAAAAAAAGACTTAAAAAACTTACTCGGGTCTGTCATTTTCCACACCGAAAGCCCTTATAAGGGTCTCCGTGTGTTTCGAAGCCAAAGTGAAACTGCAGGTCTTTTGAGGGCATGTATGGACAAGTCTTTTTGTCTTTTATTCTCTTTGAGGGTGGAGAATGGGATACACCCTGATATGATTAGTCTCCAGTAAGTACATGAATGATTCTGCTCTTTGTTTTATGATTGTACACTCAGAGCTTACTCTTAGAGAGAATTCGCCCTGAACATAACCCCAGTTTATTCAGGCACTGTTTAGAGGAAGCTGAGTTTTTTAAGTAAAGTTTAAAGTTCCAGCCTTTCATAAAAACCACCTTTTCCCCCACCGCCAGTCCTCTATGAGCTATGAGTTTCAATTATGCTGGTCCCTTAAGCACCTTAGAGCTGGGGAGGCCCATGTGGACTGACATTGACTGTCTGATGTCTGCTTTTCCTACTGCATTTCTGGCTCCTGGTCCACATTTCTATCAGTGACATAATTTCAGTGGCTGCCATTTCTAGTAGCTGCCAAATTTTACAAGTACTAAATTGGAAATGAATTTTCTAGCAAACTTCTTGAAGGTAAGAATAAGAGTGGTCTGGGCCGGCCCAGTGGCACGCTGGAGAGTGCACCGCCTGGGAGCACGGCGGCGCTCCGGCCGAGGGTTCGGATCCCATGTGGAGACCGGTTCCCGCTCACTGGCTGAGCGCGGTGCGGGCGCAACACCAAGGATTGCAATCCCGTTGCCGGTCCCTGGTACGGGCGCGACACCAAGGGTTGCGATCCCATTACCGGTCAGTAAAAAAGACAAAAAGGAAAAAAAAAAAAGAATAAGAATGGTCTTAGAGAAATGACCTCACCTCTGGCTCAGAAAGTTCTAGCAATTCATTAAAAAACTTTTTTTTTCTTTAAATTATTTCTTAATTGACATAATAATTGTGTATATTTTTGTGGTACAGTGTGATTTTTTGTTCTATGTATACATTGTAGAAAGATTCCATCAAATTAATTAATGTATCTATCACATTATCAGTTTATCATTGTAATTCTTTTTTTTTTTCTTCCAAATTTTATTTAATTTTGTCAGTATACAATGTGGTTGATTATTGTCGTCCATTACCGAAACCTCCCTCCCAACAATATTCTTTCTGTTTGCTTGTCGTATCAACTTCAAGGAATTGTAATTGTTGTGTCTTCTCCCCTCCCCCCATAGGTTGTTTGTGTATTTATTTATTTATTTTTAGCTCCCACAAATAAGTGAGAACGTGATTTTTCTCTTTCTGTGCCTGACTTGTTTCACTTAAAATAATTCTCTCTAGGTCCATCCATGTGGTTGCAAATGGCAGTATTTCATTCTTTTTTATAGCAGAGTAGTATTCCATTGTGTAGATATACCACATTTTCCATATCCACTCATCTGATGATGGACATTTGGGCTCATTCGAACTCTTAGCTATTGTAAATAGTGCTGCAATGAACATTGAGGAACAGGTATACCTTCGACTTGATGATTTCCGTTCCTCTGGGTATATTCCCAGCAGTGGGATAGCTGGGTCATATGGTAGATCTATCTGCAATTGTTTGAGCAACCTCTGTACCGTTTTCCATAGAGGCTGCATCATTTTGCAGTCCCACCAACAATGTATGAGAGTTCCTTTTCCTCTGCAACCTTGCCAGCATTTATCATTCACAGTCTTTTGGATATTAGTCATCCTAACTGGGGTGAGATGGTATCTCAATGTGGTTTTGATGTGCTTTTCCTGAATGCTGAGTGATGTTGAGCATTTTTTCATATGTCTGTTGGCCATTTGTATATCTTCCTTTGAGAAATGACTATTTAGGGCCGGCCCGGTGGCACACTCGGTAGAGTGCGGCGCTTGGGAGCGCAGCAGCGCTCCCACTGAGGGTTCGGATCCCATATAGAGACCGGTCCGCTCACTGGTTGAGCGCGGTGCGGGCGCGACACCAAGGGTTGCGATCCCGTTGCCGGTCACGAAAAAAGACAAAAAGGAAAAAAAAAAAAGAAATGACTATTTAGCTCTTTTGCCCATTTTTTAATTGGGTTGCTTGTTTTTTTCTTGTAAAGTTGTTTCAGTTCCTTGTATATTCTGGATATTAAACTTTGTCAGATGTATATTTTGTAAATATTTTCTCCCACTCTGTTGGTTGTCTTTT